TTATCTTTATCATTTAAAAAAAAAAGCTTTTTAACGACTATTTGTTGCATGCCTGATGAATCTTCATCCTCTAATAGTCCTTGATAAAGTGCTACATGATATCAAATTTAATCACCCACCTTTTCTCTGATTTGCACAAGTGATGTAAAATCAGGAGTTGTGATAATCCCATTGTGCATAATTGATATTACTTAATGAAACCACCCTTCTATACTTTTCTATGATGCACAGACACAGACACGGTGACACAGATACGACACAGCACGGACATGGTACACATCAATTATTGAAAATATAGGAAACGGACACGGGTTGGACGCGGTATTATAGTTTTTATATTTAAAAATAGTATATAAAAATTAAATAAGTATAATTTGAAAAATAATTTAGAAATAATACGCTATTTAACTAGAATTTGTGCTTAAAATGATTAATATTAGGATGTCAAGAGTTGGGCCTCGATGCCGTTTATCAGTCATTGAGAGAGGAGATGAAAAAAACTTCACTGTCAAAAAGAAATGAAAAAGAGAATATTCGATGAATGGGTTAAGTCTGGATGATTGATTTGGTGTTGTAAATAGGAAATAAGAAATTTAATTTTTATATTTTAAATAAGTAAAAATTTTAAATACAAGAAATTATATTTAAAAAAATTCATAAAATATTTAAGATATGCATGTCGGACACGTGTGTACAATTTGTATTTAAAATTTGTTTAATGGGACACGTTCTCGGCGTGTCTAACACGTGTTGAAGAAGTGTCAGAGTGGAGATAAAAATTAAAATAATTTTGAGAGCATTATAAAGGAGCAAAATGGTTTTCGACCATTTAAAAATATCGTTTTCATTTATTTATTTTTTAAATGGAAAATAGAAATAATTTATGAAAAGACTAATTTTATCTTGATTTAAAGAATCAAATAATAAAATTGGTATTTTGAAATAGTGATAAATAAATTATTATAATTTATGGTATAATAAATAAAATTCTTTATATATATATATATATATATATATATAATTATTTACACAATCTTGCCTTGCACACTGCACTATCACTGGAAGGAGTCGGCAAATCGCATGCGGATCTAACAAAATGGGGGGCTCTTGTCCGATCGTAGGAAGAGGGTGAAGCCACTCGCGAATGTGGCGCACGAGAGTGGGAACAGGCGGATGGGTTCGGATCGGACGCAAGGCCGGAGGCAGGGCTTGGTCGCAATAGGAAGCAACGGGCGTCTGGGATCAACGGGAGCAAGGAGTGTATGCCTAGCAACGAGCTGAGCGCAGGACCGTAGGCGAGGCTTGGTCCGACAGCTTCCTTGCATTTGAGATCAAGAGAATGGGAGCAAGGAGGTCGGGTTAGGCTTCGTGCGTGCGGGATCATGAGGTTGAGGGATAGAGAGTTTTGTGCGTGGGAGTTCAAATGAGAGGGAGTTTCGTGCGTGTTTTCAATTTTGAGGAAATGAACAGCAATTGTGTTGTTGGGAGGAAGTTATTTAAGGGAAGTATCGCATCGTTTGGGCGAACGCGAGTGAGGTGGGGTCGCAAGGTGGGATGAGTCGAACGACGGTTTCGCGTGCGAGCACAAGTATTAAGTCGGCACGTGTTTGGGATGGTGGTCAACACTTCTCACACCCTTCATATTGATTCTATCTAGCTTCCACCTTTTGCACAACGTTTGTTTTCTATAATCATATCTCAAATGAATGCTAACTACTAATATGTCCGCTGTAACTATATCATTCTCATCTTGATTTTACCACATATCCATCTAATTTGTACCACATCCAACATGATTTTCATTTATTTTTTTATAGTTCAACACTCAGGTTTGAACTTTAGTAAATGAAAATAAAAAAGACAACCAATATGAGAGTAGATCATCAATTCTCCCAATTCATCTAAACTTATGAAGGAAAACTATTCCAAAAAGTCTTTGACACATTGAAGTTTTTGACATGTGCATTTTTTATTTTTTTTTACATGTTAAAACACAAACACTCGTGACACCTACAACAAGTGTTTGACACATTGAAGTTCAAAAAAATCTCAAAATAGTAATCAGACTAATCAAGTGTGGCAAATTTAGTCCCAGAGTATCATGTTGCTCCAATTTAGTCCCTCAACCATACAAAATTGATCCAAAATGATCGTCCATATTGTAATTGTGATATAAAATTGATCCTAAATTTTATCTTTCGACTATACAAAATTGTTCTCAATTTAGTCCCAAGGGATCATTTTGGATCAATTTTATATAGTTGAGAGACTAAATAGGTGCAACATAATACTCTTGGATAAATTGGTTATATATGAATAATCAAGGGACTATTTTGAAGTTTACCCTATTGAAAAAAGTATAATAGTATATGATATACATTTTTTTGTAAAATAAGAGTTAGAAACGGTCACGCAATTAGGAAACACACCAATATGACCAGGACACATCCCAACATCCGTAGAACATTTATTCATGATAAAGTGTAATTTTTTTAGCTAACTTAGTAACCTATACTTTCATCGATTATAGTGAATTCTTTTGAAGAGGACAATGGTGTTGTAGTCAACGAATATCACAAATTCAAGCATTTTGAGGATTTATCAATTATAGTGAAGATTCTATTGAAGAGGACATTGTTGTCAGAGTCAATGAAGATCATGGAGTGAAGCATGTGAGGTCAATTATTGATACATAATGTGTTTATATTTTATAGGCATTGTGTGGATTATATAACTTTTATTTTTTGTTATTTTGCATGGACAATATAATGTTGATATTAACAAATTCATATCTAATGACCAATGTTAATTATATTGATGTGTTATTAACAATTCAGTACAATTGATAAAAAAAATGCGTGATAAAATATTGTAATATAATTATAATTAAGCCAATGCTTTGTTTAGTTGGTCCTTGAGCTCTTATGTGATGCATATGACATGATATTTCATTTATAATACTTTCTAAAATAAAATATAGACATTAAGTTTGTTGATTATACATTTAATATTAATAATTTCTAAAATAATATCGAGTCCAAAGAATTTTGCATTCTATTTTTATGTTATTTTGTATTCTTGCGCCAGTGTCATATCATGTATTATGTAGTGTTTGTGCTTCATCAACCTAAACTCATCAATCAAGTCTTGATAACCAACATTGTCAATTAATATATCCGCACAAGTCATAATTAGCATCGCTTAATTCAATATTTAATGTTGAATGGATTTAAACAAAAGGTCATAGAATTTAATAGAAAGCAACAACTTATTAACATAGGCTTTCTCCAATTAGTAGATCCTCCGAATAATTATGCTTGAAATTTTGATCTGAAATGAAACAATGCTTGAGTGACAAAAACGGGAAAATGATGTAGGGATGAGTGATTAGGCAAGGAAAAAGAGTAGCATATATAAGAAGATTCAATAGATTGGATAACATGTAAGGCATGCACAACAAAGAACATAAAGGGTGAAGAATTTGTATAGAAGAATTAAGAGGGAGGAAAGTAGATTTGAAACTATCTTGATATAAATTTCTAACTGAGAGTGAAATGATGACAGCTAATGAGGTGCCAAAAAGAAAATAATGAAGAAAAATAGTCCATTTATGCCAAAACCCTCTTGATCCCATGGCTACAATGGCAATGTGACCACTTTATAGGATAAAATTAGCATAGAGCATGTTCATAAAGCACCATGCCTTTTATTCAACTTGCACAAAAATTGCAGGTGAAATTTTTCTTCTTTAAGCTGGAATACATTACCCTTGCTATAAATTTCAACTAATGCCATTGTTTTGTACGTACAGAAAAAATAAAATAAAAATAATTGTAAGAAGATAGGAAGAAAGATTTCATTAATATGAAATTATAGGCAATAATAGGAATCATTCACCAAAATTATGGAAAATTGCTCACCCATATCAATTGGTGAATCACCCACCCTAGGGAGCTCACTTACCCGTTACATTGAGGTAATACTCACTCAAACAAAAGAAATATCACAGTCTCTCATCCTTAAGCTCTCTAAAAATCTTTCCATTTATAAGCATTTTATAGCATCAAATATAAGATGGTTAGTGGGGACTAGTTAGTGATTGAGAAGTCTGAGTTACTTGGCAAGTGATGCTTCATCAAATATCAAACTCGAGGTTGAATTTCTTCTAGGAAGGCGATAAAGATGAAGAATCTACTGAATACTAATTTATGCTTCCCAATTTAAGTTGAAATACTCAATCTTTACAATGATCAACTAATATTCATTTTGTCAAACAGATGTCAAGCAAAAAGAACCTCTCGAACTAACAAAAAATACCTACCGTAACATATGATACAAAGGGTTTTTATAATAATATCAAGTTACATTGTTTTGTACAAAAAAAAAGGATTTCGCTAATCTCATATGGATGGAGAAGATTCTCCTCAACTTCATTTTCAATGATCATGAAGCTTTGTGAGTAGTGAACAAGAGAGAATGAAATTTAGGTAGTGTTTCCCACAAATATAAATTACAAAAGGCTATCTCATGAATAAATTTTCCTTGTTGGAACTTGGAACAATGAACAATTAATCTAAAAGAAATCTGGATGCAACCAGATCAAAGTTATACCAATCAAAAACACATTCAGGATACTCATCAAAGTTTAGAAATAAAAAAAAATATCGCAAACAGAAGAAAAGAATTGTGAGCAGAATGAGTTATTCTACATGCTTGTGCAAATAATAATCTTTCTTGAATGTCTGCAAGAGCTTTTCATCTCAGTACTACAAATAAGTTGAATCAGCAGATCACATGGACACAAGAAAAAACGAAAAACATCAAGGAGATGGTCAATGGTATCAATTATAGAGCAGTACTTACAAACTCCAGAAATATTTTAAATATACAGAAAATAAGGAGAGAAATTCCAAATGCAATGAAACAAATTCTAACAACATGCCAGATTGTAAAATTCTGCAGTTGCCATCACAAGGAACAAAGATGCTTTGGAGCCATACCTCAGCAGCTTCAAGAAGACGACCTTCATCCTTATACAGAACTCCACAATGAGTGAGAGCGCAAGCATTTTGCGGATCCAACTTAATAACTTCCATAAAGCTCTCAAAAGCTTGCCGGTTCAGATTCTGTGCCTGGAGACAAATCCCTTTTCCAACAAGGCCTTCTAGGTTGTCGCTTTCTTTTTCTAGAACAATGTTATATAACACAAGAGCATCTCCAAATTTGTTTCGAGAACGGAGTATATTGGCATAAGAAAGAGCATCCTTCCCTTCAAATTTAATCCCTAGAGGATTAGATTGGGCTGGAGAATCAACTGCATCAGATAACGTTCCCATCCCTTTAATGCAGTCAATCTCAGATACCAGACTATCTCTCCCTCTCCCATTACCTACATCCACTTCGGGCCATGCCATTTTCATAGAAAGCCAATACTACAATCTCTGATGAGGAATATGTGAAGAGAAGGAAAATGTCAACAATTTTAGCATTGATATAGTACCAAACTCAAGTCAAAAGTAATTAGTACCAAGCAAGAAAAAAAAGTTGGGGGAAACTCGGCATACATTATGCAAGTCAGAGAAACCAAGCTCTGAGCTGCAGTTCCATGGTGCAATCAGATAAATTTCTCATAAACGGAAAGGGAAACAATTCTAGGATCGTCAAAAGGGTTAATGTCCGCTACCAAAACATCATATTACAGAACAACAGAAAACCCACAATGGCTATGGCTTCCATATAACTATCTCCGCTAAGGTGAAAGTTGAAGGAATAAAAAAAGCTAAGCAAATAAGAACCAAGGCCTGCAATCTTTGACAAAATCAGTTGAAAAAACCCATGGCCCCAAATCAAACACGCAAATAACGATCAAACTTTATTTCAAACACCATAAACTCCCAAAAAGGGGAGAGCACAAACGTCCAGAAAACAGAATCCAACGGATTTGAAGAAGGCCTCCAAAATTGAAACAAAAGGACCACTATTTAAGACCAAAGAGCACATGGCGCGTGCCGATAAAACCGCTGTTGGATGCCCCCAAATGATCAAGAATGCCAGCACTTTGGGCAGGGGCAGCGAAGCGTACGAAAAAAGAAGTAAACTTTTAGGGATTGTCGACTCACAGAAGAAAGACGCTTGCGCAAAGGTGAAACCATATGCACCTCAACGGCGGACGCAGCAGTGGAGGAGTTGAGGAGGCGAGGGTTCCGGCGAGAGGAAATCGAGGGTTTTGCGCGGGGGAGAGACGGGGGGAGAGGGGGAAGAGAACCTGTCTTTGTCCGCTCTCTCGAGTCTCTCTATGTACGGTTCCCCACTCCATAGATTTCTATTAGTACATTCATTTTATACGGCCGGGATTCCATTAACACGCTCGGAGCTGCGAGTCGGTTGCCATTTTGTCATTAGAGGTGACAGTGGAATTAGCCTGATTTTAGGTTGAGACTTGAGAGGCGGCCTTATGATCGTTTTGACTATTTCTGGATATATACTCATGCTATGTACAAAAATAAAAAAAAAAGTATTTCAGTTTTTTAAATAAAACTTTTTTGCATTATATATATTATATACAACTATTTAATTAAAAAGAAATGAAATATTTTTCATCATATAATTCTTATCATCCATCATAAACTTAAAATGATCGATTTTAATATATTTTATTCCTAAGATATATTTTTATGAAATAAATTATATATAAGGATATATTTAATTGATAGGATGATCTTGCATGTAGGATTGTAAGTCATAATAAATTTTAATAATTTGTTCAATGAAACAGTACATACAATTCATTCTTGCTAATAATTGGCTCAAAAAAATGCATGATCTATTTAATTGTGATATGATGTATCTATTCTTGTTATGAGTGTTTTTATGAGGCAAGGAAATAAAAAACGTTAGCCATAGAGTTAAAGGACACAAAGGGGACTCACTTCACAAGCATTTGTCCATTGTGGCACTCACCCCAAGAGCACTCATCTTGGAAGAGTTCCCCTAAGGGGTCATTCACCTTAGAGGATATATTCACTCATTTATTAAGAGATTTTCACCCACCTCTATTCAACAATGGCATTTGTGCCTGGTTAGTTGATGATTGATTCAAAATACTCTCTAAAAGTATTTAGCTTGCTAACCATTGTAGGGCCACATAGATGGGATCATCCACATGTGAGTTCAAAGAATTTTTTTAGACTTAAGCCATTTTTTTGTTATTCAGAAAGAGTAATAGAGTCTCAGAGCTCCTCTGCTTACTCGTCCACCTCATCCCTTCTTCATTCTAAGATAATATAGCTAGTCTTGCAAGTATGATCAAGGTGTTATCAAATGTATAAATTTAGATCCAACATCCTTTCAAATATGATGAGCGTGAATTGATGCCACTGATTAAAAGGCCAACACTATGAGAAGTAGAGCAACAAACTAGGGAGAGATCTGTGTACACAAAGAACTAAGATTTCACAACCCATCAACGACCTTATAGCGATGTAGGAGAGGATCATTTAAAACATATAGGGAGCTTTAGAACGAGCAAGTCTTTAGAGCTGCTTCAAGGGTGGATATGTTAAAAAGATATTTAGATTTAATAATTTGAATAATGTGATCAACTACTGGAGTGCTGACTTCAACACCCAGTGTAGATCAAACCTACTACCCAAGCAATGAGGAGTTTACAATTACAACAAGGAGAGTAAGAGGGTGAGAGCCCCCAACTGACAAACGTATTCTCCAATGAGATCATAAAAACAAACTAGTAATAAAGTTCAAAATATTTAATCTAGACTTATATAAGGGAAGTATGGCTCTGGTCAACCATGTGGTCTACTATGAGTTGACCACCTCACTACTTAACATCAAGACATGTTAAAGTGTCGCTTGTTTTTCACCACTTTTAAGGAATCACATCTCACACCTCTCACTAGGCATTATCACCTCATTTATTGAGTTCAACTCATCATTTAAATAATATACAAAAAAAAACCCTAATGAGACTTGCTAAATAGTGACTATCAAGAGTTTTGAGATATTATTGTGAAAAAAAATTATTTTTAGCAATCTCTCTCTTCTTTTTCTTTCAAGTTTTCAAAAACTTTAGACATAATCTTATCTAAGGTTACACTTTCAAGTTTTTTCTCAAATCATATAGCATTCTTGAGAGTTCAGAGCACTTGGGTTATGAGCTTCTTGAGCTTTTGATTGTGGAGATCGGGGAGATTTTATAGCATTCATGAGCTTTGTGGGTCTAGCCAGTGTAGCTAAGGACTGGTATACTTTTTTAGAACAAAAGTAGCATAGGGTTTATCCATTACTCTTGAAGATGATTATTTTACAAAAGTTTTACTTTGGGTTATTTAAGCTTCCAAATATTTAATCTTTTTTTTTTTCAAGACAAGTTAATTCCCCCCCTCCCCATCACACACACACAATGGGAGTGATAAACACTATAATTGGTATCAAATCAAGTTACTTAGTTAAGTATGCTTAATCAACTCAAATAGATCAAACTATGGCATAATTAGGAAATAAAAAATATTTTAAAAGGGTATTCAATTACCCAACCTTCATTATTTTATAGCATCACTTTTGACTTTTGAAAACACCCATAAAAACCTTTTATACAATATATTGACTATAGGATGTGAAACCTAGTAAAAGTAAGATGCACATCACCCTATAGGGTTGCAAAATGAGAAAAATATTAAAATTTCATGTTGTGAATAGAGTCTTGATGAAAGAGAGTCTACACAACTTAATTCAAAATACTTAAAATATTTATTTTGTGCACTTAAATTTGAAGATTGGATGCATGTTTCTACCAATACAATGAGGTAAGGAAATAAATGATAGATTATGTAATACATATGGGGGGACAAATAAAATAAAATAATAACGTATGAATATTTTCTCTTACATGATTCTGAATTATTTTGCATGCAATTAAATGAAAATAATTCTGATGTATATACTCTTTTTATAAAAAATATTATTTTATTGAATGTTTTATTGAATGCCCTTATAAACCACTTCCACCAAACCCAGTATGATGGAGAACCAAAAGCTATGGCACATTCCTAGTGACGTTAGCGAAACTTTGAAATCTTTCTAACCCTCCTTATGATGACAGAGAGCCATCAATCATTTTTCATCCTCCAGGTGAAGGCAGAGAACCAACGAACCATAGCCTTAAAACTTATCTCCTAATAGCAACTCCAAGAACTCTCTAAGGCCATTGGAGGAAGTAAGGTTCAAGCTTGCCTGGAGCAACCTTGTGAAAACCTCTCACACTCCTTCTCCCTCATGTACAACCTCACATTCTCCCTCTCTAAGCCCAAGAGCTCTCTCAAGATTCTTCATCAAAGTTCCTTCAACAACCAAAAGTCTTTTTTGGAGATAATTTTGAGTTGCTTAAGTACAAGGATTCAAAAAACTCTAAGTTTTCAATTAAGATGTCACTATTCATACTCTACAATTTGGGTTCGTACAATATGATTAGTTCAAAACAGGGATTCATACAATACAATAGAATAGTCATTAATAAAAAATGTTCAATCTCTTTGTACTTATCGTATAGTATGATCAGATGTTTGTATGGTACAATTAGTTCAATTTCCTTTTGTTCGTATAAGACGATCATCGGGACGAATTGAAAATCATCTCTATCAATTATCTAGTATGATTTACATCATAGTATATGTTTAGTTCAAATATTAAGGGTTCATCTAGTACGATTAACATCGTATTGTATGATTATTTTAAAAATTCAAGGTTTCATCCAATATAATATTCAGGACGATTGAATTTTATCTCTATCAGTCATACACGATTTGTATCGTAAAGTATAATTATCCATATTTATTAAATATTAATTTGATTGACTAATCATGGGGGATTAATTTAAGTAATATTTTAAATATCATACAGTATAATTGGAATCGTACAGTAAGAATCATTTAAAAATTGAATTTCAAAATACTTAAATCATCTTGCGGCTAGGATTTCATTATGGAAATGAGTCGTATAATACAATATATATCATACATTATAATTAGTTCATAAACATTAATTATAAAATTAGTTGTTAAAACTAATTTTTTATATAGCTGCTTGTATAATATAATATGAATCGTACTGTACGATTAGTTCAAAAAATTTTAACTCACTTTTCTCAACCCCTCTATGTGTGTATAGTCACCAATTTAGCATACAACATTATATGGTCATACTCAAGAAATATAAAATAAAAGAAATAAAAAATACAAACTCTTTCAAAAAATATCTTATTATACCCAAACTTGTGCCTTGATCATTCTTGAGTAATGTATGATGTACCTGAAATGTTAATATAAAAAAAAATAATATGAAATACATATGCTATGAGAAATAAAAACTAATTAATCAATAATATTTGTTATCATCAAAATCACAAGCTAAGGATCCTGAATTGCAACATTAAGAAATTAATCCATTAAGTTAAGAAAGCACCCACTAGTTCAACACATGCAATCATTGTTGAGGCTAGTGAATAAGTTGTTAAACCTAAGTTAATGTCCCATGGCTATCAAGAGGGGGGGAGGGTGAATTGGTAGTTAAAATCATCCCTCT